CCTATCTCGCAGTGACTTGCGCGACCATCCCATATCACAGACAGAATCATATAGGAAAAGTCTTTCTCGTATTGATTCAATAAGCTCTATCCAAGATGTCTGCCGGTAAGTCCTAAGTCCCCCTCTTTTGCGACGCGTCGCATATTTACTGCCCAACATGCCAAAAAAAGAAAAAAAAAAAGGCAGCTTTCTGGAGCACTCTACATGGTCACACATGCTAACACCTGAATAGAAGTTGCGAGTGAGTTTCTCTACAAGCTGTCCTCGTTACCTTCGGCCCTTCGTCGTCAGCTTCAGACCGATTATACAGTCTAGCCTAACATGCCGTCCACTCTTTAGCTCAGTTCGTCCAGTACTACTACAACCAGTTCGACCAGGACCGATCTGGCCTGGCGATTCTCTACGTATGCTTGCACCAGCGGGGTCTAATATGGCAACTTGAAAATATCTAACCAGTTTCCAGCGCGAGGGCTCTATGTTGACCTTCGAGTCGGCTTCCTTCCAGGGTACCGGATCCATTATCGAAAAGCTCCAGAGTCTACCCTTCCAGCAGATTAAGCACCAGGTCTCTACCATGGACCCTCAGCCTGGTGTTGCCCCCGACCACATTATGGTTCTTGTCACGGGCCAGCTTCTCGTTCGTCTATTATCTACCCTATATATATACAGTACTCCGATATTGACACATGTGACTAGGTCGACGAGGAACAGCGACCGATGAGCTACACCCAGTCATTCTATCTGGTCCCCGAGAACATCAACGGCCAGACCCAATACTACGTTCACAACGACATCTTCAAGCTGGTCTATGGTTAGGCATGTAGTCCCATCAGACTGCCTCAGGCAGCTAGTGAAGTCTAGGATGATATTGGGGTTTAGTTTCGCATACGCGAAGCACCAGTAGAAAAATGTTCTTTTGCTCTAGATAGGTCGACTGCAGAGCTTCTATAGAAGGATGGTTCTCTGCCCAGTGCGGACCGGTGCTCTTCAGATAGGCTGCGCAGGAGTTTTCCCAATTCGCAACAGGTTGTTCATACTGAAATATGATATGTCATATGTAACATGTAATACTGCTTATTTCCAGTGTCCCCTTAGTCTGTAAGTGAAATAAAGGGATGTCTCGGCATTCTCTTCTGGATCTAGCCATCCCTCAATATTGATCCATACTCTTCCCCTATAGTAAGGTACATGTGACAATATTAATCATATAGTATGATGCTCTGTGTACAATATAATTTTGCAGATAGGGGGTTGTAAGATGATGTGAATGAAAGGACCGCTAGTAGCTGAGATTTATCAACCTTGAGACTCTCTCCCCATGACACGAATATCTATATGATTGAATCTATTGGTTCGACTTCTGATATACATTTTTCCGTTGAAATCGTAGTTGATATCCATGTGTATCATGAGTTACCAAGGGGCTTTCATGTTAGGATTATAGTGTCCTGTCATAAGGCCAACCAAGCGATAAGGGTAAAAACTATGTTGTTGCACGAAGAGCTACGAATCTAACAGCTACGAGGTCGTCTGTATATACAATATAACAGACAAAGGGGTCTGTTAGGAGTGTCCCAAGGGAGCCAATCCATATCCTGATAGCTGCAAGGTTATCATCCTAGGCCACGATGCCTTCCAGAGGACCTAGAGGAAGGCTGGGGGCTAGGAGGGCCAAAGCCTGACATGTCCGTTGGATAAGTGTACTAAGATAATAGCCTGGTAGTCACAGTACGGTAGATGATGAACTATAGGATTATACCTTACCCGTGATCTGAAAACCTGACTCCTAACAAATCGTCCATTCACCTAAGGTATCTATATTGGAAGTAACTCTTGGCGGGCCGACTAGTGGCGTCCGGGTCATCGACAGCCACCCACCAACCAGCAGCCACCTGACGAGTTTGGAGACAATCACCCCGCCGGCGCCGGCAAACTCCAGGTGTTGCCTTATAATGAGTCGAAGCAGTATCAATTTTCAACGGGCGTCACCAGGAAGCCTTCGTGACTCAGCTGGTTAACGTCCAGTCTAACAGGTACCTAAGACTTAGCCCTCTGAAAAGAGATAGCTGGATAGGGTTTTTTTTTTTTTTTCTCACTTTAATACAAAGGTGAGTCGCAAACTAAGTACTTTGGAGCCCGTGCCAGGTCCATACAACGACTGGAGCTTGGGGCGCGGTATAGGACAGGCGCTGAGAGATCTGCCACCGGGTCTTGAAGAGGAAATATTTCCTTTTGGTGTTCGAGTCCTATGACTTTCATTTTTTTTTTTTTTCCCTTTTACCAGTTAGTTATTTTTCACCTATTCTGTTTCCCTTAAGCCTTTCAGATTTTCTTTCCTCCCTGCCTAAGTATTCCTTTCTTTTTCCATTTTATCCTATCGACCTATATACCATTCAAGATAACATTTCCTAGTCTCCCCATGACCTGCTTACCTCTCCCATGACATTTTCCCTGTACACTTCTGCCGTTACTCGTGAACATATATAAATTGGTATCAGATCAATATATATCGTTCCTACTCTCCCTGCAAAAATAAAAATTGACGGTATGAAACATATTTCTCACTATCATGTTTTGATTATTCGTTGACATACACAAAGTGATTGGCTTTCCCCCCTCTTTACTTAGACCCATTCAGCAATTGGATCAATGCCAGCTATCTCAATCAAACATCGTTGCCACTGCTCAGGCAACCTCGTACATTGGAATTTGAAGAATAATGAAGTACCTATTCCTGACAGATGACAGTAGGTACTACTTGACGTTATATTCCAAGGCCCTATAAAAGATGTAGCCAGGCCATATATAGTATATGATTCCCAATGTATGTCTAGACCATTCCACCCAAGTAAGTTTTATTAGTTTAAACACGTAGAGTCACCTATACTCAGAAATCATGCATCCCTACTCCCCAGCATCATCTTATTTATAGCCAAGCCGACACCGGTCCCAATAGCAGCTAAGACTACGCGAAAATGGCTCTCTTAAACGGGCAAATCAGGCTTTGAGAACGAGTGAGCTGATGATCGTCCAAGAGAGCCTCTCTTTCGATAGCGCTGGTATTAGTGTCACGCCATACCGCAGTTACGGGGGGATAACTTGGTTCGGGCTAGAAACCAAGGAGCACTTGTCCACGAACAGTACAGGATGCGGAGAACCTGCGACTTCGCCGCAAGGCCGCGACCAAGGGCATCCCGACTTACCCCAGCTTTTACCCCAACCAACCCCCACAAACCTCCTCCACGTGGTAGGGTGGTAGGGAGCTCGCGAGGACCGAAAAAAAAACACATAAGATAAGACCGAAGCCCGGCAGCTCAAGTTTCTTCTCTTCCGTTTTTTGCCCATCCTCTATTTAGGTTCTGTTTTTTTTTTTTTTTTTTTTTTTCTATTCCAAAATGTCGGAGAAGAAAACGTCGGTCTCGCTCCACGAGAAGAGCCACAATGAGCTCTCTCCGGAAGAAGCCGAGGTCGCCCAGCACGACGCCAACTTCGAGAAGCGGGTCCTCCGCAAGATCGACCTCCGGCTGCTGCCCATCCTCGGCACCCTCTACACCATCGCCCTGGTCGACCGGAGCAACATCTCCGTCGCGCGCATCTCGGGCTTGGACGAGGACGTGGGCCTCGCCGTCGGCGACCGCGCATCCGTCGCGCTCCTGGTCTTCTTCATCGGCTACATGCTGTTCGAGCTGCCGAGCAACATGATCATCCACCGGGTGGGCGCCGCCAACTGGCTGGCCCTCATCGTGTTCGCGTGGGGTCTCGTGTCCATGGGCATCGGGTTCCTGAACAACTGGATCGCCCTGGCCGTGCTGAGGGCCTTCCTCGGCGTGTTCGAGGCCGGCTTTTATCCAGGATGCATCTACCTGATTTCCTCCTGGTACAAGAGATACGAGGTCCAGAAGCGGCTGGCGACCTTCTTCATGACGGGGTCCGCCCTGTCGGCGTTTGCCAACATCTTCGCCCTGGGCCTGATCCAGATCTCCAACACGCACACCACGTACAAGGGCTGGCGGTGGATCTACATCATCGAGGGCGTCATGACGTGCGTGGCAGCCATCGTCGCCTGGTTCGTCATCGTCGACTTCCCGGACTCCGAGCGCAACAAGTTTCTCACGGCGGAGGAGAGCGCGTTCGTCAAGGTGCGCCTCGCGGAGGACCGCGGGTCCGAAGAGCGCGAGAAAGTCACGTGGCCCATCTTCGTCGAGACGATTACCGACTGGAAGGTCTGGTCCTTCGCTCTCATGTACTCGGCCGGTGCCGTCGGCGTCTATGCTTTCCTCTTCTTCCTCCCGCTTATTCTCAAAAACGGCCTGGGGTATTCGCAAGAGCTCGCGTTCATCCTCTCGGCTCCGCCGGCCCTGTTTTCGGTTGTGGAGGGCATGTTCGTTTCGTGGCTTGCCGATAAGCTGCGTCAGCGGGGGTTGTTCGTCATCGTCCAGGGTGTGGTCGCCGTTATCGGCTTGTGCATGACGGGTTTCCTCAAAGCTCCCGTGCCGAGATACGTCGGGACTTTCCTAGGCGAAGCCGGAGTCAACGGCCTGGTGGTCACTACGCTCGCCTGGCAGGCCAATAACCTCCGTGGCGATGCGAGGCGCGCCTGTGCTACAGCCGTCATGATTGCCATCAGTGGTCTTGGCGGCATTTACTCCTCTCTAGTCTTTCGCCAACAGGTTTGTCGAGGAACCCTTCAAGTTATTAGTAAACATACTAACGGATACAGGATGCGCCCAATTATATCCCTGGAATAATCGCTGTGATGGCTATCTGCATAGCCGCTATCGTTGCTGCGGCCATCTCCATCATCGTCCTGAGATGGGAAAATAAGCGTGCGGATGAAGGGAAGAAGATTATCGACCCCCTTACAGACTTCCGATGGACAATTTAGCTACAATGTCTCATGAATACCTATGAATAACGAATTTGTTTGCACAACCACTGATGCTTCACGTGGGAGCCACCTTGTTTTTTTTTGAAGGGAAAAAAAAAAAAGAAAAAAAGAAAGCTCCTAACTGGAATTGAACCAATGTTTTCGGAATCAGAATCAGAATCCGACGTCCTAACCACTAGACTACAGGAGTCTTGGTATTCGCCTTGTAGAAGGGAGTGTCAGTGGTGAATGAGGTTGGCTGTATACTTTATATTTCGCCGATGTGAATCTTCTCCTTATTGCCTAGAGGTACAAAGAATCCTGGAGTATTCGTGCACATATGAGATGAATGGCAACTTCGGTAGGATTTTTGCGCCATTAAGACATGCGGTAAGATATTTGTCAAAATCCCACCGCGTTTAACCTGAGTCTCAACCAAGATATCCAGTGATGTCCTTCAGATCTCCTCGAGGCGTATACTTGGTTACTCTTGGTGTCACTACGAGACCCAATGTTAACTGAGACCCTGAAGATAGTATGCGTAAAATCGCACACGATGTTTTTACGATGTTTCTCCTAGAACTGTCTCGAAATTTTAATTGTTCACATAGCCTGATGAAATACAAGTACTTACGATCTCTATCCCAAGCCCACTTCCTCGTATGTTCCTCAGACAGCTTTCCATCGAGCATCTGCACGATATATTTCCCAATGATAGGTAGGAACTTATATCCGTGAAACGAGCCACCGGCGGCTATGTACAGGTTCTTCGACGCGGGATGAGGCGAGATGATCCAGTCTTCGTCCGGTGTAGAGGAATCCCTGTCAAGAAAGATATATTGAATGCCCCAACATTTCAATACAAATAGTGATATGAGGTGGCTGTAGTGCTTACCAGCAAAGCCGAAACGACTCAGGCTTCATGCCCTGCACCGCGTCTCCAAAGAACATATCCCGGACGGCTTTCGAGTTTGCGGTAAGTGCATCCGGCAGATCAGTAGTCCACGTCATACGCGCGGCTGTGGAGAGCGGCGGCACGGAAATCTCCTGCTTCGACGGCTCGTGATACTTCATGTGAGTATAGGGGAACTCGTGAGTACATTTTGCCAGATCGCGAGTGTGAGAGTCTCCCGGGGGTATACATTCGGCTAACCTAGAACACTCCCGTAAGCTCAAGGATGATTCTACGAGGACTGGGAATAATCATCGACAGACCTGGGAAATCACCAAAAGGGTGCACCATAACCGGCGCACCCTTAAACTTATCAAGTCCCCTTTTCCCCGGCGGGACCTTGAACAGACACATCAGCACAGCCGCCGCCTTCAACCGATCTCCCGCATGCAAAGTCGGCTTCTCCGGTGCGCTCTCCGCCAGGAGCCACGGCGTGTAACCGCCGCAACACAGAATCACATGCTGCGCCTCGAGCGCGCGGCCATCCGTAGTAACCACTCCCGTACACGTTTCACCCTCTCCAAACCTCAGTCTCTCCACCGTCGCAACCTCGTACCGGACCCCAGCACCAACCGCCGCCTCCACCACCGCTCCAAGAGCGCCCGCCGCCTCCGCCCACCCTGCCTCGGGGCTCAGCACGCACTGCTCCGCTCCCCCTCCAAACCCACAGCTCGCCAGCACCGGGAACCTAGCGCGCGCCTCGTCCAGGCTCAGCGTCTCCAGCGGCACGCGGCCCAGCAGCGACCGGTAGTTATCCTCGAGGCGGCTGGCGCGGCCGCCGGTGACAGACCACAGAGCGCCGGACCGGTGGAAGAAGGGGGCGAAGACGGGGTCGGCGCCGGCCCAGGCCTGCTTGGCCTCGAGGGCGAGGGCCATGTACGCCGGGTCGTCGTACTCGGCGCGGATGATCTTGTTGAAGTCGTGAGCCGCGGCGGCGGGGTCCGGAAAGGGGGCCGGGTCGACGAGGAGCACGTCCGCGTCTGGGTGTGTCTGCTTCAGGGCCCGGGCCGTCGAGGCGCCGAAGCAGCCCGCGCCGACTATGAGGTAAGACTTGGGCGCTGCCATCGGATGGGAAGGCAAGTTGTCTCAAGTCAGGTTAGTATGGATAAGTTGGTTGCTACGCCTTTGAGTATGGGAGGCTCTAATATTGATCGAATACCACGTAGATCAAGGACGTCTGGTTTCTTATTATATCAGAAATATTAGCTGCGCATATCGGGGCACTGTCGCGCTCTACATAGCTTGGAGCATTTCGATCTTCTCACCTGTCCATTGGATGCTATATGCGGCCGAGGAGCGGGGTTTCCACTACCGATTCAAACCGATCCTATCAGAGATTCTTGGAAGAGCTTAGGTAGGCATATCAAGCTACGAATGAGGTAGGTCCATTCGAACCCATTTAACTATCGGGAAATGGATATCTCTAAGAACAAAGGTTATTTCAATACACTAATCAGCATGATAGTGCCCAAGGTTTTTCATACAATATTCGTATTATTCATTCTGCAGCTATCGTAGCTTAAGCATTTACCCTCATAAACCGCCCCAGAACACCCCGAATGCCGAAGACTGTCATGATATGGTGGTACGGCTAGCTGCTTCGCCAAGCATACCTAGCACTGGACTGATTCAGAACGAGTCCCTTTATACCACCGGAGCAAAGCCTTCATAACCACTGGGGTCGCTGCCGTATAGAATCTGTTGAGTTCGGCCATGATCATTGAAGGAAGCAGGGCGTTGCTCGAACAGGAGTGGGCATACGAAATAGTATACTTGCTTATGCTGGCGTCGGACGACGCACCCGGTTTAGTATCAGTATCTTCATTAGCTCAGGTCGAACCCGGCACCGGACTGAATAGCATAGAGCAGTTTGCTCTTCAGAGTCTCTTTGGAATTGTAACGTGGTAGTTTGAGAAGATTGACACACGTACTTGTGCTGGGCAGCCTCTCCTCATCCGTGCCACCGTCTCTGATGCTGAAATGGGGGCTTAGCTGCGAGAACCCGAGCAGCGGTGCTCTCGGTGTTGAAGTAACATACTTCAGCACTTCTCGGCGTTCCGAGTCTTTGAATTCGTGCATCACTTGCCAGAACATCTCAATGGTCGGATGCTCCAAACCATCATTACCGATGACATATAGTCCTGAATATTCGGTGTTGCGTCGAAGATCCTCGACGTCAATTTCCGAACTATCGCCGCCAACGAGGCGCTGAAGTTCGGACTGATTAAACATGGATAGCCATGCGGGGTTGATCATGGATCCGAGGCCCCTAAGGAAGGCTCGGGTTTGTCGGTAGGGCTGTGCTACAAGCCGATGGCTCGCAACGTACGAGATGTATAGGGGTCGATTTGTGTTGGTGACGGGTATATCTCCGCCATTCTTGCAAAGAGGACGTGTGATTGTACGCACGTCCCCGAAAGGCCCTGTGACTTGGTCTGTAATAGTAAAGTCTAGCGAAAGATCGATTACTTGACCGGGGTAATTCTTGAGGTTGATGAGTCCTTGATACAACTCTGGATCCAGATCTCGTAGGTCATTCAAGTTTGCACGGTGATCTGTTAGAGAGCCTTGCCCCGAAGCCGCCCATTTTAGGAGGAAAAACCCGGCGAAGGCCTTGTCAATAAGAATGCCTTCGTACATACACTTTCCCACCACTCGGCCGAGGAATTCATAGCGTTTAGCAAGATCTGCCATGCTCTCCCTCCAGTTGGCATCGTTTTCGGAATGTTTCTGGTAACGGAGGACCTCTGCAAGGTTGTCGAATGCGGTTGGATTCGGGTACAATAAGTTTTGACTGTTGGTGGCGAACAGGCCATGGCCGTCCGAGCCTGGACTGAAGGCTTCATCCGTAACACTCGTCAAAAACTCTTTTGTAACACCGCCACCGTCGATTCCAGCTTCGGGTTGGTCGAATTGGTCAACAAAAGTTATCTGCATGGGTTCTTTCAATCCATCACCAAGAGGATAGAATTGCTCGTACGCGTCCTGGAACACCTGCCCACGTTTAACTCTAGCCGAATGACGGCCAAGAATGTCTCTGCCCCTACCAGTAGGATTATTGAAGCCGCCCTCCCCAGACATGACTGATAAACGCCATCGATCGGCATCGGTGAAACCACCTCGACGCTTCATTTTGTCGAGATTGACAAATTGGCGGAATATCTGAACCCTAACCTCAAAAGGGATGACAAATGGCATGTTGCGCAGGATTTCAAGCTTCGGACCGACTTGAGCTAGAAGTTGTTCCCGCTGGACTTTGCGTAATCGACGACGCTGCTCAATCTGCGCAGCGCGGGAAAGGCGCTGTGCGGCGAACGAATGGAACGTATCACGTACGTCCATATCTGAGTCGTCGTCCGAATCCTCCTCATCTCCATCCATCTGCTCCTTTTGTTGCTCTTCTAGCACGACAGCCGAAATAAACCCATTCATATCGAATTTTGAGGTCATTAACCAAAACTCCGAGGGAAGAAAGCGTCGTCGGGAATCTCTTTCGTACAGCGAACGTATGGTGGTAGTTGACACGCTCCTCAAACTTAGAACGTCCATCCCAATAATACCGGCGAATGATGTTGGCGTAGCTTCTGCTTCATCTTTTTCTGCGATGGGCTTTCCAGAAAATACGCTTAGTCGGGTTGGCTTTGAGCTAGGTGGCATGATCATTGGTAAGTTGTAATACAGCGGGAAAGAGAGGTTCTTGAGGAAGTTGATCAGTTGTTTTAATTCGGTTAGGCTGAGGCCGCTGGAACGTATCCGCAACGTAGCGGGGCTCTGTTCCGATAGTAACTGGGCCGCTGCGGGTAGAAAGTCTTCGTCATCGGTGACTCTCAGTAGGAAATTGTATAGTTCCAGGAATAGAAGTAGAGTTCGCCATTCCCGGGCGCGAGTAGAATCTGGCCGTAGAAGTGTGACTACAAGAGAGGGCTGGTGGTGGGCTCTGGGTTGTATTATCTCCCTAAAAATATCAGTATTTGACGCAGCTTTCCAGAAATACTTGACAGATGGTGTCGCAGTAGAACCAGATGAGCCAATCGTAGAGATATCGCCTTGAAAGAGTCGCATCTTGATGTCGTCACTATGGCTTGGGAAACATCTCAGTAATACTAGCGTGTACCCAGCAAGGAGACTAGCCTCTTCAGAGAGACGGTCTGAAGATGATATAGTCCTGCATCATGTTAGTGTATCGCAGGAGTATGCAACGATATCGGAATACTCACGAAGTGAATCTACTCAACAGCTCCGAAATTCCATCTTCATCT